GCTAGGATTACAGGCGTGAGTCACCGCGCCTGGCCTGGGCTGTTTTTATGTCCCACGGTATGTATTTGTTTCTTCATGGTCAAGAATTAAAAGCTTTGCGCTGGGTATGGTGGCTCATACCTGTAATCCTAGCACTTTGGGAGGCTGAGGCAGGATCACTTGAGCCCTAGGAGTTTGAGATTCCAGTGAGCTATGATGATGCCATTGCACCACAAAAAAAAAAAAAATGAAATATATATTTTGGGTAAGAATAATACATAAGTTTAATGTTCAAGTTGCTCCACATTTGGCATGTTTATCATTTTGACACAACACCTCTTGTTTTTAACTATGCACTTAACTTTCTGGCACAACTAAATATTACAGATCAAATGTAATTTCCCTGCCACATGTATAAAATCCACCCCAAAGTCTTGTGCTTCTTATTAGAAAATGACATTCAGAAACCCAGAACTGGGCATTAGGAACACCCCACTTTATGTACTGATTTGAAAGAAAAAAAAATGCCTAGGAAATTAAAAATGCTGTCTGTTAAACTATGACATTGACATTCAATGTAAGAAGAATCCCAATTTCAGAGATTGTAAAATATAAACTAAATATCTTAAAATAGGTGAAATTTAGTATATATTTTGACTTGGAATAAAAATAAGCTCCATATTTGATATTTGTTTAAAACTAAATTGACACTTAAGGATACCTTTTCTCTTTACAGATTGGATTTACTTTTAGTGTGCCTGTTGCTAAAACAGCAGAACTTTCTGGCTCTAGTAGTACTTCAGAACCAATTATAAGTAGTTCAGGTAAGTAAAAAGTTCTCACACATTTTTATATAAAAAGTTGCATACATCAGATTAGTATTTCAGAGTCTCTGTCATGTTTGGTAATTCTTACAAATGCCTTCATTTGAATGAAATTAGCTCTGAAAGACAAGCAGGAGCTACCATCAACCTTAAGCTTAATATTTTTATAATGCTTTTTACAAGTTATCTTCAGTGATACTAGCTCCTTAAATGTAAATGTTAAAGTTTGGTTTTGAGAGGGATAGCAAGTTTATCTACTCTCTTGGTTTAGTTAAAATAAGGTGACGAGTTTGTTATAAATGAAGTCTCATTTTAAGAAATTTAAAGGTTGTCTACATTATAATTGTAGTGGATTTTGTCTCTAGGTTTTATTGTTCAATTCACAAGCATTTTTGTGTGTAAGGGTTATGCTGGCCCATGCAGTGATAACGTAATTTCTGAACTGAAGAAATCAGCATGGTTGAGAGAAAGAAATGAGTACTCAGATAATTAAAGCATAGGATTTTGTTGCGATATGGGTAGTTTTCTTTTAAGTGTTTGGTAAATGCAGAAACCTCTGGGCTGAGTTTTTCAGGTCAGGAATTTTGAGCAAGGGCATTTTACCCCCAAAATAAAACCTCAAGTGCAAGGGCACAGGAACAAGAGAAAAAGCATGGCAGACTTGAGAATTCCAAATAATCTGTCATGAAGTTAGAGAGATGGCTTTAAATCCTAAAAATTATTGAATGCCATGCCAATGAATTACATTTTATTTTGACTATAGTAGGGAGACAATGTGTGATTTTTATATGGGAGTGAGATGGGTGTGGGCGAGTGACAGTGGTATGTTGAGCGTGGGCGGGAGTGGAGTGTTACAGGCAGAGACATAGTTGGGAGCTATTGCTCTATCCAAAAGTGTTTCTCCAGGTATCTGCCGAGTTTTAGAGTTTTAAAAAACTAGATCCAGGCCGGGCGCGGTGGCTCACACCTGTAATCCTAGCACTCTGGGAGGCCGAGGCGGGTGGATTGCTCGAGATCAGGAGTTTGAGACCGGCCTGAACAAGAGCGAGATCCCGTCTCTACTAAAAATAGAAAGAAATTATCTGGACAACTAAAGATACATAGAAAAAATTAGCCGGGCATGGTGGCACATGCCTGCATTCCCAGCCACTCGGGAGGCTGAGGCATGACGCAGGAGGATCGCTTGAGCCCAGGAGTTCGAGGTTGCTGTGAGCTAGGCTGATGCCACGGCACTCTAGCCCGGGCAACAGAGTGAGACTGTGTCTCCAGAAAAAAAAAAAAAACTAGATCCTCCCTCAAAAGATAGATTAAAAAAAACACAGAGAGTCAGACATACAAGCTAGAGAGGTGTTTGGCTCTGGATAACCTGGAAAATAATAAGAATTTGACTAGTATGTTTGCAATCCTATTTTTTCATTGGCTAAAACAGCCTCGTACAATAAAAGTAACAGGCAATTTCAGGTATACTTCTTACCAAAAAAGTTTTTTCTTTAATATTATGGGTTCAAGAGGAATAAACCTCTTCAAATTACCAGTTTCATGACTTATTATGAGGAAAGGCATTAAAATCCTTCCTACTTTTTAACTAGTGCTTTACTCTAGTGGTAACTGAATGAGTAACAATTTGTTATAACAGCTTTGTTTCATTACATTTCAGGAAATTAACCAGATTTTTAAGGAGTTGATTATGAGTGGCATATACAGAGTTATTCTCATTTTTATGCCTCTGGTTCTCACCACTTACATCATTTAGAAAAGCTAATCGAAAATGTAAAAGTCATGGTTAGTTGTGACTTTGTGACAGGAACTAATTTTTCCATTATTTCCTTTTTCCATTTCTTTGTGTATATTTCAGGGAGTCCTAAAAATTTACCTTTTTTTTTTTTTGAGACAGAGTCTTGCTCTGTTTCCTGGACTAGAGTGCTATGGTGTCAGCCTAGCTCACAGCAAGCTCAAACTCCTGGGCTTGAGCAATCTTCCTGCCTCAGCCTCCCAAGTAGCTGGGACTACAGGTGTGTGTCACCACACCTGGCTAACTAATTTTTCTCTTTTTGTAGAGACGAGGTCTCGCTCTTGCTCAGGTTGGTCTCGAACTCCTGAGCTCAAGTGCTCCTCGGTCTCCCAGAGTGCTAGGATTACAGGCGTGAGCCACCACGCCGTGGCCAAAAATTTACCTTAAATTACTAAATGCAATTCAATTTTTGATTATAAAGGAAGATAGAATGTGATAAAGTGATTAAAGTGTGAATTTTCTTTGCTTTGACACAGTTTTAGGTATGATGGGTGTATTTTGGGCAGAGATGAAATTTTTGTTATCGAGATGAAATTGACGTGACACAGCCATTTTAAAGGGAATGACTCAGTGGCTTTTAGTACATTCACACTGTTGTGTAACTACCGCTTTTATCTAGTTTCAAAACATTTTTATCACCCTACAAAAGGAAATCCCCTGTCCATTAAGTTGCTCCCCATTCTACCTTTCCCCCAGCTACTGGCAACTTGTGTTCTGTCTCTGTGGATTGACTTATTCTGGATATTTCATATAAATGGAATGATACAATGTGAGTTTCTATGTCTGGGTTGTTTTCACTTACAATGATTTCAGAGTCCTTCCACTTTGAGAGTATGTATCAATACTTCATTCCTTTTATGGCTAAATAATATTTCATTGTATAGATACACAATAATTTGTTCATTCATTTGGGCTATTTCTACCTTTTGGCTATTGTGAATGGGGTGGCTTTGAACATATACATATACGTCTATTTGAGTACCGGTTCCAGTGCTTTGGGATACATATCTAGGAAGGGAATTGATGGGTCAAATGGTAGTTCTCTGTTTAACTTTTTGAGGAATCACTCAACTTTTCCAAAGTAGTTGAAACATTTCATGTTCCCACTAGCGGTGTACGGGGGTTCCAGTTTTACCCACAACATCACCAACACTTATTATTTCCCTTTTTGATTATAGTCATTCTGTTTTTTTCCCCCTCCACTCTCCACCTGTAGCCATTCTAGTGGGTGTAAAGTAATACTTTATTGTCGTTTTGATTTGCATTTTCCTAATGCAAATGACGTTGAGCATTTTTTCATGTGCTTGTTCGCCGTTTATGTATCTTCTTGGAGAGAAATGTCTATTGAAGTACTTTGCCCATTAAATCGGTTTGTCTTTTTATTACTGAGTTGTAAGAGTTCTTTATATATGTGATCTGGATACTAGACCCTTATCGGATAAATGATTTGCATATATTTTCTCCCATTTTATGTAGATTTTCTTTTCACTTTCTTTAGAATGTCCTTAGATGTACAGAGGTTTTTAATTTTGATGAAGTCCAGTTTTTTCTTATGTTGCTTGTCCTTTTGGTGTCATATGTAAGAATACATTGCCAAATCCATGGTCGCGAAGCTATACCCCCTAGGTTTTCTTCTAAGAGTTTTATGGGTTTTGTTATTATTGAGGTCATTGATTTCATTTTGAAGTAATTTTTTTTTTTTTTTTTTAAGACAGAGTCTCACTGTGTTGCCTGGGCTAGAGTGCCGTGACGTGGTCTTAGCTCACAGCAACCTCAAACTCCTGGGCTCAAGCAATCCTCCTGCCTCAGCCTCCCGAGTAGCTGGGACTACAGG